TTGGGGTGAAGCTTTGTATACTGTCGCACATGTGATCAATCAACTCCCAGTGTTACATTGGAAAATGATGTTTCTAATAGGTTATGGTATGGTAGAGATGTTTCCTATGAACACCTACAAGTATTGGGTTGCAAATATTTTGTACATGTTCCTAAAGATGAGAGGTCCAAGTTAAATGTCAAGACTAGGCAGTGTATCTTCATTGACTATGGGCAAGATGAGTTTGGTTACAAATGCTATGACTCAATTCAAAATAAAGTTGTCAGAAGACATGATGTAATTTTTGTAGAAGATTAGACTATTGAAAATAATAACAAGGTGGAGAAATCTAAGTTTCAGATTGGTGGTTTAATTAACTTAGACTCATCTCCTACAACTCATATGCCTGATGCAGTTGAAATTCAGAATCATGATGCGCACAATGACAATCATAATATAGATAAGATTGGTGCTCCTGAATATGAAGCAGTTGATGTTCAACAAAAGGCACATATTGAGGAACTTGAAGTTCCACTTAGAAGGTCTACTAGAGATCGAACGCATTCTACTACGTATTCACCTAATGAGTACATACTCATAACAGATGAAGAAGAACCTGAATGTTATAAAGAGCCAATTGAGAGTGAACAAAAAGTAGAATGGATTATAGCTATGGAAGATGAAATGCAGTCTTCACCTAATAATCACATTTTTTAATTGGTGAAGCTTTCTAAAGACAGAAAAACCTTGAAAAATAAGTGGGTTTATAGACTGAAACAATAAGAGAATTCATCATCTCTACGATACAAAGCCAAATTAGTTGTCAAGGGCTTCGGTCAAAAAAGAGGAGTTGATTTTGAAGAGATTTTGGTCAAGATGTCATCAATTCATATTATCTTAGGGTTAGCTGCTAGTCTTGATTTAGAGGTTGAGCAAATGGATGTTAAAATAGCCTTCCTTCATTGTGACTTAGAGAAGGAAATCTACATTGAACAACCTGAAGATTTTGTGATGTAAGGAAAAGAAAATTATGTTTACAAATTGATAAAGAATTTATATGAGTTGAAACAAGTACTTAGGCAATGGTATAAGAAGTTTGAGTTAATTATATTTTAACAAGGCTACAAGAAGATTACTTCTAATCATTGTGTTTTTATGTAAAGATTTTCTGATAGTAATTTTATCATTTTGTTGCTATATGTTAATGATATGCTCATTGTGGGTTCTACTTCTTTTAGAATTGATAGCTTGAAGAAAGAGTTGAGCAAATCTTTTGCAATGAAAGATTTAGGTCCAGCAAAGCACATTCTTGGCATGAAAATCACTCGCTATAGAAAATGCAAAAAATTGTGGCTATTTCAAGAAAAGTACATTAAGAAGGTACTGCAACAATTTAATATGGTTAAAGCTAAACCTGTAAGTACACCTCTTATTATGTCTTTCAGATTGAGTGTCAAACAGCCTCCTTCTAGTGAGCAAGAGAAAGAAAACATGCAAAAAAAATGTTATGCATCTGCAGTATGTAGTTTGATGTATGTATGATTTGTATTAGACCAGATATAGTTCATGCAATTGGTATTGTTAGTATTCTTCTATCTAATCTAGGAAAAGAGTATTAGAATACCGTGAAGTGGATTTTGAGATATCTTTGTGGTACCGTTAGTTTGAAGTTGTGTTTTAGGATTGAGAAGCCTATTCTCAGTAGTTTTACAGATTTTGATTTGACAGGGGATATAGATTCAAGAAAGTCTACTTCTGGGTATTTGATTACTTTTGTAGGGGGAGCTCTGGCATGACAATCTAGGTTGCAGAAATGCACTGCATTGTTTACTACAGAAATTGAGTTCATTGCAACGACTAAAACATGTAAAGAATTGCTTTGGATGAAGAAGTTTGTGAATGAGCTGGACTTTACAAAAAAGAGACATGTCTTATTTTGTGACAGTCAGAGTATTATTTATCTTGGTAAAAATCCTACTTTTCATGATAGATCCAAACACATTGATGTGAGGTATCATTGGATTCGTGATGTTTTGGATTCTAAACAGCTTAAACTTGAAAAGATACACACTAATGATAACGGTTCTGATATGCGCATAAAGGTTTTACCAAGAGTAAAATTTGAAGCATGTCATATGGTTGCCGGTTTAGAGAACTCCTCCACATAGTCTGGAGGGGAGAATGTCGAGTTTTGGGTTCCCTCCTATCTAAAAAAATCCAAATCTTTTTTAGCCCACTTATTTTTTGCTATTAGGGTTATTAGAGTTTTTTTTTATAGTATATTACTTTAACCCTAAGAAACAGTATAAAAATCAATTTTCAGCCACCAAAAGAAATAGAACAATAAAGGGAACTTTTGCTGAAAAAATTACATCCAACGTGTTTCGGTTCTTTCCACGATCAGATAATCATCTTTAATCGGATCAAGCTAAAATTTGGTGGATATTTAGAAAATTCATTTTTCTTCATTCTGAATGATGAAGATCGATTCTAGACGGTTGGATTTTCAGTATTTTCAGTTCGAATTTACTGTTCACGTTTTTTCTTCTCTATACCGATCAGTTTGACTTTTTCCAACGATCGAACTATAATTTGTGGTCTAATGAAGCTGAAATTTGATGAGTATATTCGGGATAAATTGTTCTTTGATCTGAACGGTGAAGATCGAATTTGAACAATTAGAACTCATCCGTTTCGCATGAAAAGTAGCTATTTTATTGATATTTCTTCATTCCCTTATTTATCTTTTATTGTTTGGTTGATTTGTTATTGATAATTTGTTTGAAAATTATAGTGGTTACTTGTTGCTGTAAACATTAATTTTTATAATGAAACTCTTTTTTTCTTAGATCAAGAGAAATCCTGTAATTTTTATTTTTCACATTGAAGAAATTTTCTACGTTAAAAATTTTAGTGTCTTTGTGTAATTATTTTTTAACATCTTGAATCGAATTTTATCATATTTATTTTAACTGAATTTTTTCTTAGTTTTCACTCCTCACAAATTCATTGAAATGATTCCCTACCGCCTATAAAACAAATCTTTTCTGTAAGTTTTACAAATGGGATCTTTGTCAGAATTCACCATAAAAGATGTAAATCTGAATATAATATTACATATCTTTTCTACCATCATTTCTGTTTGATGCTATAAATTATTCCAATTCTCAATATTATCATTCCCACTATTTTACAGGTAAAAACACTTCATGCCTGTCCATTTCCATCTTTCCATTTTCTATCATTTCCTCAAAGTGATACAGCTTTTCATTTGGCATCTGTCTTGTACTTCACAACCAAAATTAATTTCTTATTCCACCAACATCTAGAGCCAAATGATGAAACGCTCTAATTATAGGGTTGACAACTTGAATTCAAGTTCTGTCTCTTCTCCCATCTTTTAAAAAAAAAACATTAAATTTTTTTTTTTCAGTTTCCTGAACTGACAGATTTGCAATTTGCAGAGCACACTAGGAGTTTCAAGCCTCCAAAAAAAGATGAGGATGACTTTAGGGAGCTTGCTTCAGCTATATACCTACAAGTTAGCACCATTAGCCAGGCCCTTATCTTTGTGACAAGATCTTGAAGCTGGTCATATATCGAGTGTGCAAATCTCTTGCTCGTTACAGCTTCTGTCGTTGCTCAGCTGGCAATGAAATAAAGTGAATTGCTGATTGAATATTGTCTGGAGAAATAAACATCATTGAATCTTTGGAATGTTCTAGTGCGTTGGGGTATACACAAAGTGGAGCTTTGCAGCAATTGAAGGGATTGGATGGTGTTGGAATGGTTTGATTTGGCTCTATATCCTCATTTTCTACATCCCACTCAGACTTCATAAAGTTCTTCATGCAATATGCTCTCAGTGAAAGCCTGGGATCTCGTCTTGAGCAAAGGGTATGAACAACAAGTATTGGCTTAACAAAAAGCTTTTACTTTTTTCCTCTCTGGTAAGAATGTTAAACTTGTATGGCATGTGGAGATATTGCTGACTGGTGGTGTTAATCTTGTGTTTCACAGATTGCCTTCACAAGAAAGAAGGATTTCTGAAAAGAACACGAGCTTAAATGGTCACACGCTTGGAGGACATTTTACAGGCCATATCCACCCAAAACCCCGATGTTCAGTGAATGCAGTAGTTTCACAGAACCTAATCAGGTGGCTGAAGAAGCAAAAAGAAGAGCAAAAATTGCCAGATAGGTTAAACTACACTCCATCATATTCACTCAAACCTCTTCTTTATCCGGCGTTAAAGCTATTGCATAGTAAGTAAACCTTATTGACATAAATTAGCACCAACCTTACAACTGCTCTTACTGGTGTTTCATGCAGACTCAGGGAGCTAGCATGCATTGAAAGGGCATGTTAAATCAATAGTGAGGATGAAGGGGCTTGACATTGATGAATCCAGCGAACATACACTATCTGAAGAAGAAAGCGGTCTATTTTGGCTTGCAAAAGGCATAATATTACTGTAAATACCAGTAAAAATCTATAATGTATAATGTCAATCACCTCTCAATTTGTGTAATAATTTATCCTCAGATATTTCCATTTCTTAATTTAGTCTATATCTTCATTGCAATTTTGCTCCCGCTCTCTGTGCAGTACTGTGTTGCTTCCACAGAAACAGGTAATGTTTTTTTGTTGCCATTTGCTTTCACAAATGGTATATGTCCAATAGAATAAATTATCATATGGAAAAATCTGCAAAGAAAAATAAAGTGCAAACCTAATGGATTAACTCCTGTAGACATGATTTTGGAGCCTAAAACTTCCAAAGCCTAATGATTCAATCCATAGATGATGTGAAATTTTAAACCCTTGATCTCTCATTTAACAAAAGAATGGCTCTACTCAAATGGCTTGAACAAAATACCTAAACAATAGATGCATAGTACGTGGATAATAACAATAAGAATCTCTGTCATAAACATTCAAGTTGCGGTGACTGCTAATCTTAGAAAAAAGTTATGATGGCTCTAAAATATTTCTTTTTTGAAATAAAAGGTGACTCGTACTTATCAATAATAAATTATCATCAACTCACAGCTAAACACAAACTTCACACAACAGACAAGGTAGCTTTTCCATGCTGAAAGCTTCAAGCTTTCTTTATTCACATGCGCTTTTTGGCTAACATGATTTCACTTCAGACTTAAAAAACATAGTGATCATCATAAAACACACTATATTTTGCCATTTATATCAAATCACTCTCTAACATTTTAATCAAACCAATTAGCTTCTGTATTTTATCATTGTAACTTAGCACATTAGTTAACAGAATTAGTAATCTTCAACAGATTTTTTCTCCAAAGATAAGTTGGTAGTTTTACAATGTCTTCTTCATCAAAACATCAAAACCTTTTTCCTAAACTGTTAATTTGGTATCCACCGATGCCCATCTGTGGAAAACTCATCCTAACACCAAGATTATTCCACGTTCATACATGATCCACGAAGATGATTAACTATAGAGTTTGCACGGATGGGTCCGCAATCCCAAATTTCAAACCTGTTTGAGAATAGTGGGTCTAATTTTCCACTAGCTGGTCTCACATGTATCAACTGCCCAAGAGTATTATCAAGAAAAACAAGTGAAGGAAAAGGGTCTTGATGTTTGATGAAGAAGAAGACAAACTTAAACTTACCCATTTATCTTTATAAAGGAAAAAAAAAATGTCTGTTTACAGTTCCCCTTAACTAATGTTTCATTTGATACAACCCCAAAATTCTAGAAGATAATTGCGTCGATTAAAATTACCAGTGATACAAATGACAAATATATAAGTGTTATATGAAGATTACCTTTTAACGAAATGATTTTATCTTTTCCTTGAGCTCTTTTTCCTTGGCCCCAGTCACCGTGTGCTTTACAGTTCTATCCTTCACCAATACAAACGTCGGCATACCCTGAATCCCGTATTCCTGGGCCACACTCTACAAAAACCCAACAACAACAAACCAAGAAACAAAGAAAATCAAACTTTGCCTTATAAAAAATATATAAAAAAAAAAAAAAAAACCAGAGACTCAAACATACCCTTCCAACAATTACGAAAAAAAAAATTGAGTTATTCTGGAAAAGGGAAAGAAAGAGGAAGATTAATAGAGACACATACAGGCAATTCATCGACATCAATCTTCACAAATTCAACCTCTGGATAATCCATAGTCAATCTTCCAAATATCGGCTCCATCATCCTGCACGGCCCGCACCATTTGGCGGAGAAATCTATCACCATCTTCATTCATTTCGTCGTCGGCATCATCAACAACCCATCAAAAAGCGAACCCAACAAAATTACCAGAAAGCATAAGTGAAAGTGAACATAAACGCAGAATTATAGATCCAGAAAATATTACATAAAGAGAGAGATAAGTACCAGCTTATTGGCTTCAAAAGTATCAAAGAAGCTTTTCCACTCAACAGCTGAGTTGAAAGTCTTGATTCTCCAAGACTCTGATGATGCCGGCGACGACAAAACCTCATTTCCTCCCAACACGGCCGACAGAATTCCTCCCATTTTTTTCTTTATCCAAATTTTTCGTCTCTCTCGCTCTCTATATAATAAATAAAGGCGACCCCCTCGATAATATAGGAATAGGATACCAAAGCATAGCTTTCTCCTCTACATCTCCCATAGATTTTTATACCTCCATCCATAGAAAAATGTTGAAATTCAAGTTGCCGAAAAGTAAAGTTCAATTTTTTAAAATTCAAAATCACAAGTTGAATTTGAAATGTAATGTATAAATTATTTTTAAAAAAACTAAATTAATAAAATTAGTACTAATACTATAAATATAAATTATAGAACATTTATAATAAATATACAATTTTATTAATTTTTTAAAGAAAAGTTAATAGCTTATTGTTTATAATCAAACACTTTATCTAAGTACATAAAAATTGTTTATTTTTAAATAATAATAATATATATTATGCTGTAAACACATTTTTTTAAACAATCTTAAATATAATTTTAATTCTAATACTTAAAAAGTTAAATCTTAATATTTTAAAATATTTTATCTAAATAAAAAAGCAATACCATTACTCATAAAATTGTTGAAGAATTACGTGAATTCAGTATTATAATTATAAGGAAAAAATATTTATAAAGGAAATCCATTTGTTTAGTACATTATACAAAATATTGCCAACTATTACTATAAGGCATGTCCATCTTTATTTTTGACATAGCATCCTTTATATTTAATTATTATTTTATTATGTACAATTCTCTTTATATAATTTTTAAAGTAAAATTTTTTTTCTAATACCATACATAAATAATAAGATATGAATTTAAAAAAATCAAATATATTCGATATCAATCTTGTTCAACCTCGTTACTTTATTGTTCACCAAAATTCAAAATTTTTACTAACAACGTATGAACTTATACAAATTTAAAAAATTACAGTAAATATCTCGACAGTGAAACAAAAAAATTCATTGAGAAGATTTAAGTGTTTAACTTTCAGAACTTCAATCTAAAATATTTTTTTACAAAAAAAAAAATCATTTATACTGACATACTAGATCTATTAAAAAACACAACAAATAGAAAAAATAAGATAAATACACACGAGTAGAAGCGATCAAAAAAAAAAAAGGGGAAAAATCACTTGGCTAATCTTCATAAGGTGCTTAACAAGTTCAAAATAAGGGGTGGGTTCACGAGATCGTACTACCACTAGGGACCAGTGTTCGCAAGATTTATATTAATAATTTAACAGCAAAAACGCAAATGGGGATGTAGCTCAGATGGTAGAGCGCTCGCTTAGCATGCGAGAGGCACGGGGATCGATACCCCGCATCTCCATTTTTATTTTAAGCAAAATATATTTTTCTAATGTCCCGGCTCATCCTGGCTTGATCACTTTTTGACGGGCCCCACTAAAATTTAGTGGCTTGACACTTTATCAAAAATAATTTTGAAACACTATTTTTTAATCCGGGTATTATTGTAATTTTAATAAATTCTTAATTTTCTAGTTTCAGTTAACTGGTAAAATAATTAACAAAATGTTTCATTATATAGGTTTGTATTTACTAGAATTATTTGTATGTTATTAATAAATATTTAATATATAAACCATTAGGAGCTTCAAAAAATACATTGTCAACTTTACATATAAATATGTTTATAATTTATATTTATTATAAATTATTAAAATAATATTTAGTTTGCATCTAAATAATGATAATTTAAAAACTAATATTCATATTGAATGAAAAAAATATTTATTTTAAAATAATTTAGGAGAAATTATAGTTCACTGAAGCCAGAACATGTCATTTTCCATTTGGAGGGACAAAAAGAATTCAGCCAGACCAGCTCAATAGGTTTAATGGAGATCATGAGAAACATAACATAGCAGATAAATAAGCTACAACAACCTTCTTTTTCTTGGGAATTTTTTTTTTACATTCTTGATCAATCTTTTACCTACAGAGAAACTGAATCCATTTGTACGAAAACAATGAGAGACATGAAAAGAAATAAAAAGAGGGAAGAGGGTAAAAAGCATACATATATTAGTGACCACATTTCAGAACAAGCAAGAAACTACATCAAACGATGCCTTATAGCTCCACTTTCAGACCTCCACAAATGCAGATCCCGGCTACACGATATTGATCTATTGCAGCTTCATATTTCCCCGCCATCATTGCATCAAACATAAACTTCAACTTCCTTTTCAACACTTCAGCTCTCCGTCCTCTAGATATTAATGTCTCAAATATCATATACAATGGTGATGAAACAACTAAAAGGTCAGATGGTCTTCCTTCGATTCACTTAACCATGGGGCAGCACATCAGATAAGGTGGAGGCTAGTTCAGTCAACTTACTGATGAACCGATATCAGAACAAAAGCAACCCATGCCAAAGCAATCACGAACCAACAACTTATTGTTGTTGATAATGTTATATGAGGAAGCCATTATGCAAGAGAACCAAATCTAACATTGAAAGGTAAAGCAATTCAGTTATGATCTTTGCCATTAGGCTTTGGAGAATGGGTTTTTGTTGTGATATGGTGAAGCTGAGGACCTTGGGACTGGATAAACTCCTTAATGGTTGCCCATTCCTTGCTGTGAATCCTGCCTGAGTTCTAACACCATTTTTAGAAAAAGTGCTGGACCTGGAACGATCAGCTTGCATGGTTTGGAAGAAATATGAGGAGCTGGCCATATCCTTAAGGTTTGGAAGAGGCTTTAGAGTTTCAACAACTTCACTCATTCGTGGTCTAGCTTTGGGGTCACGACTAAGACATTGAGCAGCAAGCTGGGTGGCCTTTTGAGCACCTCCAATTGAGAAGTGACCTTCAAGGCGAGGATCCAATAACCGGTAGAACCTTCTCTTGTCCAATAGATGTGGTCTTGCCCATTCAACCAGGTTGTGCTCTCCATTTGGTCGGTTCTTGTCCATGGACCTTCGACCAGTCAGCATTTCCAGTAAAACCACTCCGAAGCTGTAGACGTCACTCTTTGATGTCAAATGTCCTAAATAAGAGAGAACTGTATTAGTCTAATAAAAGAAAAAACAGTTTGTGATTCAATGGTACATCATTGCACAATCACAATTCATATCACAAAAAAGTATGTAGTTCCGGAGAAAGTTGCCATTTCTTTGTAGCCACGACTTAAAATGGAAGGATATCTATAGAAGTGACAAGAAACATATCAAGTGAGAGCAATTTGAACTAAACATTTCATTAGTCATGAGGTAATGCAGCATGTCTGGCTTGTTTGCACATGCAGCAAGTTGTACATATATGACATTATTGTCAAAGAAGAAAGTCCGCAAAAGAAAGAGAGGGTCCTTATAAACTGTATCAAACATAAAGACCTGCTTTCTTCAAACCTATTATACTATCATAATGTCAGAAAGTGATCATTTACGGACTTTTTTGAAGCAGACCAGTGAAGAATCTAGCTACCCATCAAAATACTAGAGATTGGAAAAGAACGTATTTATTCAAGCAGCTCAATAAAGTTTAGGTTCAAACAAAGAACAGAAAAGCCACGCACCAGTCATCACATATTCTGGAGCAGCATAGCCGTATGTTCCCATGACTCGAGTAGATACATGAGTTTTACCTTCCTCAGGAGCATCTTTTGCAAGCCCAAAATCAGAGAGTTTTGCATTATAATCCTGAAATGAGCATTTGTTTTTACTAAGAAATTGATGATTACACCAGACACTTTAATTTAACAAGTCTTAACTACGCACCGCATCTAATAAAATATTTGATGTTTTAAAATCACGATATATGACTGGCTTTTCAGCTTCTTCATGTAGAAAGGCAAGACCCTTTGCAGCACCAAGTGCAATTTTCATTCTAATAGACCAAGGAAGAGGCAAGGACCCTTCTGCACATAACATGGTCATTACCAGGGAACATTAAATTTGTTATAGAGATGCATAGCAAAATAATATGTGCCGATGTAAGAGCGCAATCACAGATGTAAATGTTTACATAATAACACAATAACAGCAGTTTTTTCAAACAAGATACTACCATAACATTAAAAAAGGAAAAACTACCAAAACCTTTCCATGTAAGCAACAGTTACAAAGCCACAGTAAATTCATTTTGTCCAAAAATTTCATATCAACAATTGCTAGTAGAACTAAAGACATTAAGGAGATAATGCACATAAGATTTGAGAAAGAGAACAAAATAGAGCAAGAAAATGTCTGAACAGATCTGTTACTTTGAACATGCATAACAGAGACCAAAACAAATAAATTGTAATGGCGTAAGTTAAACAAAGATAAAATTTATTTTGCTCCACCTATATAGTTAGTGCTACACATTGATTAACACAACAAAAGGCATAGCAGCCCGAAGTACACAAGAAAATTATCCTACTCCGGGTGGAACAAATTTGCTTTTAATATCCTTCCAATGATACATAAAAACCAAATTAACCAACTTCATTATTTTTCAACTGTAGTTAATTGTCATAAAAGACCTTTAAAGCCAACAATGAGGATATCCTCTCTCAAGCTAAAGGTGGTAAGTTCATTGCAAACTTACCACTGACAGAGCAGCCTTAGGAAGCTGGCAATTTTGCAATACTGGATGAAGGAACAGACTTTGCTTCAATCTTCTCATATACAGGGAACTTTTCCATAAATTATATTTAATTTGCCAGGTAGCAAAATAAGATTTCCCTCTTAACTTTTGAGGACAATTTCAGTGCCATAGGCATTTTTTGCCTAGTTGGCTTAGTAGACTCCACTTGACACGTAGACATGCGTGTGGAAATGCCAGACAGAAGAACTACTAATCAATTAATTGATATCCAACAATAACTATTTGAACACCTCTTAACTGTTGCACTTAGTTATCCAAAAATATCTTCAATTAACGTTCAATCCTGAATCCTACACATGGTTTTATCATTTGACTAAACCAAACCCCATAAATATAGAAACAAACCTAACCCAAACGAAAAGAATGATAGGCGAAGTTGCAATACAAGCATTCATTTATTCCATACCTAATTTTGAATATCTAGTGTTTTCCCCTGAGCACTCTAGTGAAACATTAAGAACCACTGCTTAACCTAAGAACACGTGGCTGCTTGAATTTTGGATTCATGCGTTGAGAGCATTTAAGAAGCACCCCAAATGCCACTAAGCCTACAAATGTAACTGACCATGGCATAAGGTTGAACCAAGCAATTTACAGCTTACAAGGAATATTCATGAAGAATTGCGTCTGTGCAAATTAATTAAATATCAGTTACATACTTCTGAAGAGGTGGTTCTCCAAACTTCCTCGAGGCATAAACTCATATACCAGCAGCCTTTGATCATCTTCAATGCAATAACCCACCAATTTAACTAAATTGGGGTGAAGAAGGTTACCAAGGAAATTAACTTCAGCCTGACATATAATGAAAATCATGAGGATCACCAACTGGAAAAGAAATGCAAGAAGAAGCATATACTTTTAGTCTATATGTAGAACTTAAATGAAAGAGAGTAGATGAATAAGGATCCATACAAGCCACTCTTTATGACCCTGGAGTCCATCATGGTTCAAGGTTTTTACTGCCACAGTCAGCCCTGTACCAGGTTTCACAGGTGCAGTTCCATTCTCTTCAATCCATCCTTTGAAAACACAACCAAACCCACCCTCGCCAAGAAGACTCTCAGGTCGGAAATTCCTAGTAGCTAACTTAAGATCAACAAAAGTGAACTTCCGAAGTTGAGAAGAGACCCTCAGTTCCTCGCTGAATTTAGGTGTGGACGAAGTACTTTCTGCATTGCTGGTGGTTGTGGTAGACACCGGAACAACAGGTTGATCTCTTCTTTTCTCATTTCCATTTTTACCTTCTGCTATGTATAGAATAAAAAGATTAAAAGACAGAAATATGAGAAACCATGATAGGAATCGTAACAAATGCAGAAACCAGGTAATCATTAGAAACCCTTAATATGAATATGTTTCGCACTGCAGAACAAACTTTCTAGATATGATCACCAAAATGGTTGGTGATTAGTCAATAAATGGAAGTTTTCCTTAAAGGCACCATGTTCTTTTTTCTTTAATTGCTTTTTAACTAAAATGAGCCATATTACCTACCTCAAATAATTTATCCCATCTGCCTGAAACGACATAATCAAATTCCTGATGGTAATGAATGATTAAACCACTTATTTAGACACATGACGTTCTTCATATATCCAAAAATAAAGACAACCGACTTGCTTCTCTTCGGAAGTTTCTTTTTTTTCTTTTTGCAAGTTAAGAAGGAAATTCTCAGCTGGGGAGCACCCCAGACGATCTCAGAAGGAAAAATCGAAGCTTCAACAAAGTCGTCACCCTAAAAAAATTCGGCCCAACAATAATAGAAAGAAACCAAACAGTCCCTTCACCCCAAAAGTTGATAATTTTCTTATAGATAAAGCACACAGATACAACAATGATTTGAAGAATTTTTTCAGCGGATGGTTTCTGCTCTTCCAAAGAAAGGCATCTTTTGTACTTATGAACATAGTCAATCTTTGCAGAGAGATAGAGAGAAGAAGAAGAAAAAGAGTACCACAATGATGGGTGGTTGCGCCACTCATGGAGCTATCAACTTTTGATCTCGACGGGATGCAGCCACCAACGAACATTAATTTGACCCAACATCCACTTTCTTCTTCCTCAGCTCCATCTTTCTTCTTCCTTCCTTTCTTCGGTTTCCAATTCTCCGCCACCTTTACAATACCCGGACCCAAACCCATCCCAAAAAACAACTAGTGATCAAATCACCATACCAGAGCTCAAAACAACAAACAACACCTCAAAACAAGTTAATTTCGTTCATCAAATGCACCAAAAAGCGAGTGATAATACAAGATGAAATGAATATCAAGGAAACCCAGTCGTGAAATTTTAGTCAAAAGGGATTTTGGTGAGAGAGACTCGGATGGAGGGGCTGCTTGAGAAAGAGGGAAAGTGATCAAAAAAGGGCAGTCGGGTAGTTTGAAACAGAGAAAAGGGGCAGAGGGGGCAAGAGAGAGGAAGTGAGGAAAGAGAGATTTCTCTGTTACTCTCAACAGTAACATTGGCATATTCCAGACAAAAAATCATGTGCTAAAAATGATTAGTGGATATACTGACAACGTTAGTTTTTTCTTCTTCTTTTTTTTTTTTTTTTAAATATATATATTTTTTCGAGCAATTAACTCCTTTTTCTAAACCCAAAAAAATGAGGACTTTTGAATTTTTTTTAATTGTTATAAATAATGGTTTTCATAAATTAAATTACCATATTTTTTTGACATTTTAAATCTAACAAGATTTGCACACATTGATTTGAATTCTTAATACTTAAATACCAACAACTTACAATTCTTGGTTTGAGTTCTTTAATTTTCATTTCCTGGGCTTATATATATATATATATATATATATATATTTATTATTCACAAAGCTATATATATAAGTTAATAATGAAACGGTAATAATATTATTATCAATATTTTTAAATTTAAAAATAGAAAATATTTCCATTTTCTAATTATGCTTTTTGATCCTTCTTTGATAAGTATAAATGAAAAATCTAACTTAGTAAATTTAGTTAATAGAAATCATAAAATCGTATTTGTTGTAGATTATTGAATATTTGAAATTAAATAAAAATTAGGAGTTCAAAGTTTGTTTATGTTATTTTGTTATCAAGCATTGCAAAATGAAGTAGTAGAGGAATCTTGATTCAGTGTGGACAAGTAAACTTACAGATTGACAAGTACATAATTCTATGAATAAAAAATTTCTACTTTACACTATCTCTATTCTACTTCTTTGAAATTCTTGTTCTTCTTCCAACTTCTCTCTAAAATGCATGACGAACAATTTTGATATTAAATATAATTATTAATTTCTCGATTTAAACAAAAAACTTAAATAAATAAATAAATATATTGTTTAGTCTAAACTAAATAAGATTAAGACAAAAAATAGTCTGAATTATTTACTTAAAATATTATAGACAAGAATCTAATTTGTTTAAAATAAATAATTTCAAGATTTGCATTAAAGAATATAAATAAACTAAATGTTTAAGACAAATAAAAAACTTTCAACAACCAATTATAATGAAAAAACATTATGAATCAAAATTATAATAAGTTTCAAATTTCATAGATTAATTTGGTAAGTTGCTGCCATTATTACTATTATTATTATCTTACATTATTTTTTATTTATTTTATCTTTTCATTTTATTCTATTTTTTTAAAAAAAAAATTTATGGTGAAGAAAAAAAAAAGAGAAAAAAGTTATAAAAACAAAAAAACAAAGGGAGAGAGAAAAAGCGATGAAATTTAAACATTGGGACGTTATTTAATCTAAATCCAGTCTCAGCCCAGAAGGAAACCCAATGAGGCCCGGCCCAAGGAGTACCCAAGCCTAGCAATTTGAAAATTCAAAACTACGCCGTTTAGGGGTCCAGATTTCGAACCTAAGGGAAAACAAAACAACGTCGTTTCATTAGATTAGCGCAACAACGTCGTTTCACCAAAGGCCAAACCTGAAACCTTACGGTTCGTAGTGGCCAAAGAAGTGAGAAAGCAAAGTCGTGGCAGGTGGGAAAGAAGTAAGAGAAATAGAATTTAAAAAAAAAAAAAAAAAAGAGGAATTAAACTTTAGTCATAAATTTAATTTTGTTTTAACCAGATAATAATAAAAAATTTTATGATAGTTTTAAATTTATTATTCTAATTTCAAATTAGATTCCATATATAGTGTTATAATTCTAACTAAATTTATACATATTTTTTAATTGAACGAATTATATATCATTTTTTGCTAAAGAATTATACATAATTTTTTTTATAAAAAATTTATCTAAACATAGTCAAAGAATTAAGAATAATATGGTTTTATTGAAATTATTAAGATATATTTAATATAAACTAAATATTTATTTTTTGTCCGTAAAATTTTGTTTAAATATCATATGTAACTAATTTAATTAAAAATATAAATAAAATTATATTGTAACTATATTAATTCTAATAAAATTTGAACATATATAAATTTTATAGGATTGATGGGGATAACTTGAGGCCATGTAAGCAAAAGGTTGAATGCAGCTGTCTGATATCTATCACTTCCATTTTAGTTTTTAATAACTTTGCTTAGTGGAGTTATGGGTGAGACAGAGATGTAAACTTCTTCCCCTTTCAATTTGTGTGTCCTTTCCTTTGAATATTTGTCCCCTCTTTTGAGTTTTTTTTTTTTTTAATTTATTTATTTAATTATTATTATTATTATAAAACTTTTTAAGGAGATAAACGATTTACATCATAAGCACAGTTGTCTATAGAATCCAATAAATAATATTATTAACACACAATCTATGAATGTTCAACTCAAGATCCCAAATCAATGACAAGACAAGACAATTAATTAGTGTGAATGTTAAACATTAACATTTCAGGTTTCTTGTTTTATTGTTGTATGAGCAAAAATCAAACAAGATAGCAAATGCAAATTAATTAATTGCTAAGTAGTTGGCGTAGAAGATATAAAGGTGGGGATTGCAACAAATTGGGTTCCCACGAATTTTATATCTAACCCAAATATACAACTTAAGAAATCCAAACTAGTAGTCATATCCAACCTTCTCTCCCTCAATTTTCATGTTTTGTTCAACTTTTTTAACACTAGAAAAAGAAAGCCATAATCTTGAACCAACTGAGAGAGGGAGAGAATGTATAATTTTTTGGGTGTTTTTTTAACAAATAAGATACACACACACACACACACACACGTGTGTATATATGTATAGAAAAAAAAGGAACAAACATGAGGAAATCCTATCTTTTCCTTTGCCCAAAGAAACTCCAAGAGAGATCAGTGCAGCAAAAACTTCAGCATCCAAGCTTCTTTTCCGTTGGACCACTACACTCCTGGCATTGATGATGGTGGCGACTGTCAAAGGTGGAAATGATAGTAGTGGTGGTTGTTGAAGAAGAGGAAGCAGATGAGGATGACTCTGGTGCATTTTGAGTCTTGAAGAATGAGTGAAACTAAAAAAATTAAGGTTATGATTTTTAACTTCAAAGTATTTATATTTTATATTTTTAATTTAAATTTACAATATTTAATGTATCGAGTTAAATTTAGACGAATTTTTCACCTCTATATTCAAACCCGTCCTATCCCGCCAGTATATTATCATGCTGACCTGAACTTGTACTCCGATATTTTTATTTGAAAGAAACCATAATAGATGTGATCCCGATGATTCATGTTATGCAGATTGGGATCACTATTACATTCCTAGGTAAAAGATATTTAAATTGGTTTTTAATTTTTAATGATTAAATGTTTTAAGTGATTTTTAATCCAAAAAAAGTTCCTTTAAGCATATAATTTTCAGTCATAATATGTTTTTTTCACGATTAAACTTCTCTTCAAAATGCAAAGTTCCAGTCCAACCCTCAAAATAAAATAAAATAAAAAGAAAATCAAAACCCCTTCTGCCTTCCAAGAACATGGAATTCTTCTCTTTCATCTCTTCCAGTCTCTAGGTCTCTTCAATAGTAAACAAATTTGATTTTTTTAAGTTGATAAACTTTCTTAATTTATTTTTAAGTATTCCTCAAATAACAGTGCACTAAGACAATGAAAAATAAACAATAAAAAGAGCAACTAATAGTCTTTTTTATCACTTAACTAATCATTCAATTTTGAAACATAACTTAAAAACGTTTTCCAATTTTAAGTCTGACCAACCCGGAAAAATAAACTAAATATTTTCGAAGTTGAAAGTATTTCAGGGTTAAATCCTGTTAAAAACTATAACAAAGAAAACAACAAAACCAAATGAACCACATAACAAGAGAATAAACCAATGCCATGAAAAGGAAACAGAAAACACGCGAGACCGAAAACTAACTGTTTTACACTAAAAAAAAAAAAGCAAATACCAAAGCATCTATTTTTTATTAGTGTGCAAATAGTTCTTTTTTTCAAAAATTTCAGAAATTACTCCATACAGATCCGAAAGCCTGGGTTTTGATGCTATGATGGGCTAAATAAATTGAATCTTTGTACAATGGTTTAAATTTGATAACTGACACAAGATCACAAATACATCACTAGGCTCTCGCAGATTTTACCTGACAGTTAAGAACCCCATTAATGCTTATTCTCATGTTTCAAGCCATGTCAGAGTTCCCACAATCAAGAATTTGCTTGGCAGCTCCCCTGCTGATGGTGCTAAGTATGTAATTTTCTTCCTGTAGAGTTCATATATGCACATATATATGTGTATTGTTAGATCAAATCAAACCATCATTTCACACACATATATCA